GCCTCCATCTTGGCCATATGGGCTAACCTGGGGGCTGCCATCTTGGCCATGTGACCTACCTGTAGGCACACCCACTCCAGCAGCCTGTGCCAGCAAACCTGGCTGCCAGACTTTTTGCTTTTTATTTTTTTGTCTGTGATTTCTTCTTTCACTGGCCCTGTTGCTCATGGCTTGTTTACAGAAGACTGTATCTTCCAGGGCACTCTGTTTAAGTCTACTCTGTCCCTTTAAATCTCCTATCTGTCTGCTACAATGTATGGATCAGAGATTGCATTCTGGTCCCTACTTTTACTGTTATCCAGTCCTGCTTGTCTTTGTACCTGTAATTTAACTTTATACTTACCTAACTCTATATGCAACTTAAATTAAACTGTGCTAAGTCTCATACTTTTAAATTGCTATGTATCTTTAAATGATGATGAAAGTTTAAAACCATAAAGGTCTATCTCAAATTACCAAAATATTTATACCACTCAGTTCATCCTGTAAGCCATTTACAAAGGTACAGCTTTTATTACAAAAGGGGATTTTTCTCTAACTAAAGGAAAATTTTTGACTGCTGAGATACTAAGCAGACAACCCTCAAATGCTCAGAGATCTAGAGAACATGGCATTTTAAATGTTTTGTTAAAAAAGCTTTCTATAACAGAGAGATAGGCCAGCTGCTGGCCCCACCCCATTTCCTCCAAGAAGACTGATGGGCACTGAAGAAACTTCATTCCAATTCAGTGACAACACTAGTCACTGAGCAACCCCGCCCTTCACCTCATCTGCTACAAAGTCCTCCAGACCGTGGACAAGAGGACAGTGGAATCGACTTTCCCCTCGTTGCTTGGGCCAATGGTAGGCGAGCCTTCCTGTAGTCCTGCTACAAAGTACTCCAGACCGTGGACAAGAGGACAGTGGAATCGACTTCCCCTGAGTTGCTTGGGTCAATGGTAGGCGAGCCTTCCTGTAGTCTGTAATCCACAGGTCACATGTTATCAGAAAGAAGGCAGGTGTCCTGTCCTACCGCCCACTACTATGGATGGGAGGACCTTGGGGCTGGCTGTCCATGCAGCCTGCTGGCAAGTCTCTGTTATTCTTTAATCATTAATTCAGGTAAAAATCTTATCCTTCTTAAGAACTCTGATGCTTTTGATGACTGGTAGTCTTGCCAGCTTAAAGCAAAACAGATTTCAGGAACAGGTATTTTAGGGTTTATGTGAAGATAGGAAAGTGTAAGGTGTATGAAGGTCTGGAAATGTAGTTACAAAGGTCTGAGGATGGAAAGGTCTAACACGGTGGATAAATGCAAGTTATGAAGATCTGAGAATGTAAGGTATAAGTTATGAAGGTCTGAGGATAAAAAGGCTTAAGTGATGAGAAAGTGATTGAGACATTAAAAAGAATGAAATATGTTCCGGATTTCTCTATTTCTCATGCTACTGTTCATAGTCAGTAAAGTTCTACAATACCACTGTACGATCATAACTACAAGGTCAAGATTAAGATGCTTTTCATTATCCTAAAAAAATCTGTCAATTTTAAAATGTTAATGCTTTCAGCCAAGTTGCTTCTAACATGAATATGCTGCTAATGTGTCTAATACTTATGTTTCCACAAACTCTAAGGATTCTTATGAGTTCCAAGGAGCTAAATTGGATCCAAACAAATAGGTCAGATTCACTCCAGTTATTCAGTCTTTCCCTGATCCCAGGACTCCCTTCCCTCACGTTGGGACTCCTCAGGTACCCCTCCCTCATCTTACAATCTTCCCCTCAAGTGACAGGACCTAAGAAAAATTTTCTCTCTTCTAAACTTAACCTTGTCCTCTGCTCTGCCAACATCTTGCCAGGTCTAAGAGGCTCCAGGGAGTTCCCTATAGCCTGGACTTCGATGAAACAACCAGCTACCCCAGGATGTGGCAGCACCCCAACCTTCTCAGGTCCCCCAAAGATGGTCAGCACCACATCAGCAGGAAGCAGTCTTGGGAATTCGACGCCCTTATTATTAATCTGCCATGTCTAACACCCCATCTTTTTTTTTTAATAATAAGTAAAGGTGGGATTGAAAGGTTCAGGCATCTCTGTTACCTGTCGGAATCCACTCAGGCACTACCCAGGTCAGCCCAGGGTTCCATAAGAACTAAGTCTGCACACAGGTGCAAAGGACCCCTTTAAAAGACAGAGCCCTGCCCATTAATACACTCTCTACTCTCTACTCTCTCCTCTTCTCCCACCTATGCTGTCTCTCTATGGTGACTGGCCATTCCAGTCAGCCATTAACCCTGTTTCTTCTTTCTTAGTCTCTCTACTCTGCCGGGCCTATAATAAACTGGTTAATATGTCTAATAGTCTCCTGTCTCATCTTGTACCTCCTCTTCTTTTATTTGTAATTTAAGCAAAAGAATAACAAGACCCTGTTTAAAAACAGACAAACAAAAACCCTCAACAACAACAAATAAACAAACAAAAAGCTGTTGTGGGGCAGCCACCAGGGAAGACTGCTCAGACATGGGTATAGGTCAATAGAAAGTCTTTATTAGCAGGGCAGTGACTCCATTGGGTGTTTGGGATCCCAGTGTAGCACTGAGCCTTTCTCAGCGTGAGCTTTCAAGCACAAAAACATGTTGTTGTGCCCAAATTCTGAACCCCCAAATCACCAAGAGACCCTATCCAATGCAAAAGCAAAGAGTCTTTAATTAATGAGTTAACTGTATTAACCTCTGTCCATTCGACGTGACTGGTGGAGGGAGAAGAACTCAGAGGGACTGTGGGGCAGAGAATTTATTGGGGTAGAGCAAGAGGAGTGTCTGGGGTCCACAATAGTCTCAGGATTGGTACACTTCCAGTCTTGGGCAACCTGTCCTGTGTTGATTGGTCAACTGGTTGCTATGGCCTATAGGCCCTCCCAGGACAGTTGCTCTGCTCTCCACTGTTTCCTTAAAGCACATCCAGAGCCCGTCAACTAACTTCTGATTGGTTCCTTGCCACATGGAGGGTATCTGGCTTCCTACTGACTGGAAGGTTGGGCAAGGTCAGGAACTTAGCACATGTTTCTGAGTTAGAGACCTACATCTTGCTGGGTCTTTTCTGCAGCCTGTTATGGCTGCCAAAGCAGGAGGCTGGGTGAGGGTCTGGGGTCCCTTCATTACCCCCTTCTTGAAGTACCAATTGTTATTGTTTTGTTTAAAAAGAAGAAAAGAGAAATACTGATACATGAGACATAAGACTATAAGTTTATTATAAGGCCCGGCAGAATGGGGAGACTAAGAAGAGGAACAGGGGTAAATGGCTGACCACCATGGCCAGTCGCCATAGAGAGA